CCTTCTCCTCTCCTCTCTCCTCTCCTCTCCCCTCCTCTCCCCTCCCCTCCCCTCTCCTTCCTCTTTCTTTCTTTTCTTTCTTTCTTTCTTTCTTTCTTTCTTTCTTTCTTTCTTTTTTCCTTCCTTCCTTCCTGTCCTTCCTTCGTCGCTTCTTTCTTTTTTCATTTCTTTCCCTTCTTCCTCCTTCCTTCCTCCTCTTTCCTCCTTCCTTGCCTTCCTTCGCACCTTCTTTCCACAAAGGTCTTGCTGTGTCGCCCCAGGCTGGCAGTGTGGTGGCAAGGTCTCAGCTCCCAACTGCAACCTACACCTCTCAGGTTTCAAGCCAATTCTTCCATTCCCCTCAACCTTCGAGTAAGGCTGGGGTTACAGGTGGCATTGCCACCCCCCCAGGGCTTACAATTGTTTGTAGCTTTTAGCTAGAGACGTGGTTTCACCATGTTGACCAGGCAGGTCTCGAACCCCTGAGCTCAAGTGATCTGCCCACCTCAGGCTCCCACAGTGCTGGGATTACAGGTGCGAGCCACTGCACGCGGCCATGTCACACATGTTCAACACAGGCCAACCGCGGGTGTGTTCAATGCTTTACGTTTTACACGACGTGGGCATTTGGGCCTTGAATTGATCATTTTCTCCTTTGTGTGCTTTTCTTCTCATTTGTCATTTGAAATTTACAGGCTGTCCTTCATCCTATTTTTACAAACATGTTGATCACAGCAGCCCCTTGCAAATGCCTTGTGAATTCTCTCTTGAGCAGCTAAAGCTTTCAAGTCAGGGTGCGGCCTTTTTATTGTTCTGAATTCCTTTTCAAAGTCAATTTGAGAAAAGAAGTCGGCCTCGGTTAATCAAATTGTCCTTTTTATTCAATGTGTATTTGATGTATGGAATCTTTCCAGGAGCACAGTAACATTTTGCTTTATTAGAGAGTAGCTTCCACTACTGGTTTCAGAGAACTTTCTGGCTCCTTCCTCAGGAACTTGCTTTTAAATCAGCCGTGGAGACTTCAGACTCCAGGACTCTTAGCAAAGGGCGTGTGAAGCAGCATCTGTTTTGCTGCTGCTGTGGACTCTCAGCTCCCTTTGTTGTCTCCTTGTTCTTAGAAGCGCACATTAGCTCCCCTGATGTCTTAGCGACCCGGGACTGAGGGAGGAGAATCGCTCTTTGAGAAACAGAGAACTTATCCCTGGTTGAACAAACGAACGACGAAAGTGTCCTTGGCGGAGGAACAGCAGCATCTTTTAGCCATGTTTTCTCGGAGCCGTGCTGTCGTGGGACATCCTAGCGTTCTTCCTCTTCCCCTGCGATTCCAAGAAGTTGTTTTTATTTATTTTAGTTTTTAATGTTTTTCAGCTTAACTGAGGATTAATTGACAGATAAAAATAGTATATATTCAAGGTGTAGAATGTGATGCTTTGAGATACATATACTTTGTAAAATGATTACCACAATCAAGCTAATTAACACGTCCACCACCTTCCATTTGTGTGTGTGTGTGTGTCGTGACAACACTTAAAATCTACTTTCTCAGCAAATCCCAAGTATACAAGACCTTATTGTAAATTATAGTCACCACGCCGAACCTTGGTTCTCTAGAATTCATTCCTCTTATAATAGAAAGTTGATGCCCTTTGATCAACAGCTCCCCATCCAACCATCCGCTGGACCCTGGCAACCTCTGTTCTATTCTCTGCTTTTGTGAATCAACATTTCTAGACTCCACATGTAAATGAGATCATGCGGTGTTTGTCTCTCTGCACCTGGCTTATTTCACCTAACATAATGTCCTCCAGGTTCATCCACACTGTCACAAATGGGCAAGATCCTCATCCTTTTTAAAGCTGAATAATATTTCATGGTGTGTGTGTGTGTGTATATGTGTGTATATGTGTGTGTGTGTGTATATATATATGCATGCATATATCACAACAAGAACAATTTTCTTTTTCAGATGCAGTCTCGCTCTGTCACCCAGGCTGGAGTGCAATGGTGCAATCCTAGCTCACTGTAGCCTCTGCCTTCTGAACTAAAGTGATTCTCCTGCCTCAGCCTCCTGAGTAGCTGGAACTACAGGCATGCACCACCACATCTGGTTAATTTTTGTATTTTTAGTAGAAATGGGGTTTCACCATGTTGGTCAGGCTGGTCTTGAACTCCCAGCCTCAGGTGATCCTCCTGCCTCGTCCTCCCAAAGTGCTGGGATTATAGACGTGAGCCACTGCACCAGCCAACAAGGACGATTTTTGTGTCAGCAGAAAAACAGGACAGAGTGTTCTCTCATATTGTCCACAGTTACATATTTAAGAAACAGGTTTTGTGTTTTGTTGAAAGGTTGGAGAACAGTGATGAAACTATTAAATTTTGTTTGTAGATCATCCTGAGTGGAGGTTTGACAGAATATTTTGTTCTGTACATGGACACTTGCTGTCAATGGACAACATATTAGGGCTCCTGTGAAATTCTCTGTACAGTTGAGATACATCCCTAACCAAATTCAGAGATGCCGAGAGAGAGAGGGATCAAAAGAGCTCACACCTGTCATCACAACACTTTGAAAGGCTGGAGGATCGCTTGAACCCAGGAGACAGCCTAGTGAGACCCCATCTCCACAAATAAAAACAAAAACAGACCTCCTGCTTTACAGACGTCCTGATTGGACAGATGGGAAAAGGGGCCCCTGTTGGGAGTACAGAGCCCTGTGCACCTGCAGCCCTGCAGTGGGGGAAGCTCTTGATTTAGGGGACCTCGCACATCATTTATCCTGGTTAGTTCACCAGTTCTGCCCAGTCCCCAGTTCCCCTTGGTTCTTCCCTAAATCATTTCCAGGTATGTGTCTTCCAGAGTCTGTCACTATGGCACACAGACTCCGAATCTGCAAACACATAACAGGGTGCAGATATCTGTCCATGATGAAAGGGGCTTGCTTCTACCTACCACATTAGTTCTTTCTTAAGACTGCCTCAGTAAGTGAGCCTGTATGGGCCATAGCCTGTGCTGTGATGCTGTGATATCAAGGACTGGTAGGCTGGTGTCTTAGCCATGTGGGCTGCTGGAACAAAATACTATAGACTGCACGTCTCAGCTTAAACAACACACATTTATTTCTTGCCACTGTGGAGCCTGGAAGTTGGAGATCAAGGTGTCTGGCGAGGGCCTGCTTTCTGCATCATAGACAGCCCTGCCTTCCTGTGTCCTCACAGGGAGGAAGGGGTGAGGGAGCTCTCATGGGTCTCTCTTATAAGGGCACCAATTCCTTTTGTGAGGGCCCCACCCTCATGACCTCATCGCCTCCCAGGGCCTGACCTCCTGATACCATCACCTTGGAGGTGAGGATTGTGACCTGTGCATTTTGGGGGAACACAAACATTCAGATCATGACCGGTGGTGTGGAACTGGGGTTCCTAGATTCAGGACAGCAAGGAGGCTCAGCAAGGCCTGAACTGAAATTGGCTTTCTTTTGATACCTGGATACCTCTAAGTCCTTTGGCTCTGACTTAGTCAGGACTATCCAAGGAAATCCACCACACAGGAAGCCCTGGACTTCATCCTACTGATAAGAAATGAGTACTTTTTAAAGTTTTCCTTCTGATGATGAAGGTCCCTCAAAGCCCGTGACATTCTCCCAGCTCCCTACCAGCCTGGACTGTCTCACTTTTTATGCAAAAGGAAACTTCTGGCTCCCTTCTCAAAAGTAAGTTCTACCTGGACACAACAAGACACTGAATCAGGGCCTCACTCTCACCACAGCAACACCATGAAAGCTGCCCGGGATGGCAGGTCCCGTGTGTACATAACCATGACCATGTTGGCCACAAGCACCATGAGTATGGTGTGGGTCACCCTCTTCCCTGTCTCCCTGCTGGACACTCACCCACCCTTTAGTGCCTGCAGAGAAGTTCCCCCAGGAGTCCGGGCCTGGGTCCCCGTGGCCCTGGAGGGTTTGTGGCGACCCCAACACAAGCTCTCTGCGACTGCACACACAGGTGTGTAGCCCACGCAGCCGTTCCGTGAGCTCTTGGACTGGGGCTCATCCATCGCTGCACCTGTGACACTGGGCATTCTGCCCTGTAAACAGGAGACATAGGTTTAATAAGCATTGATTTCATTTAACAAGTTTGTATTGAGTAATCTCTGTGTACCTCAGTCCTAGGAATATGGCTGAAAAATGGTAAAGAAGCATCCAGGCACTTGTAAATTGACATTTGAATCTCATTTGCATTCTAATCAGTAAGTAAATTAATAAGCAAGCAAACAATTTCAAATACATTATGAAGAAAAACCAACAACATGATAGATGGGGATGGAGGGGGTGGGTGAGAGCTGTTTTTGATGGAATATTTGGGGGTATGTTTCTCAGAGTCTGAGTGAGATGTGTGCAGAGAGAAGGAGCCAGTCAAGTGGGAGATAAGAAAGGGTTTTCCTGCAGAGGGGGCGCTAGAAACTCTGAGACAGTATTAGCTTGGGGTGCTCCAGAAACAGAAAGGATGTCAGTGTCCCTTGAGAGCTCAGTTGGGGAGTGAAGAGAGAGAGAGAGACGAGTTTATAGACAGAAAGCTTCACCCCTGCCTTCTCAGAGGTGCAGGGGAGATCTTGAGGGTCCAGAAAGAAGCGTGGGGCTTACTTGAAGAAAATGGGAAGCTGTGGAGGGTGATAAATGGGAGGGATATAATTTTTTTAGCTTTTGCAAAGGACATACTGGATGCAATGTATTAGGAGAGAAGAGGTTGACATGGATGGACATTTTTGAACTGATGTTAAAATAAAACATTTGATTCCTTTTTCTGTACCTTGATGCATGCAGATGAACATACCCACTGTATTCGTTCATTCTCATATTGATATAAAAAAATACCTGGGACTGGGTAACTTACAAAGAAAAAGGTTTTATTGGCTCACGGTTCCACAGGCTGTGCAGGAAGCATAGCGGCTTCTGCTTCTAGGGAGGCCTCAGGAAACTTACAATCACGGCAGAAGGCAAAGGAGAGGCTGACACATCTTACGTGGTTGGAGCAGGAGGAAGAGAGAGCAACGGGGGAGGTACCACACATTTTTAAACAACCAGATCTCACAAGAACTCACAACAGGGATGACAGCACCGAGGGGGATGGTGTTAAACCACAAGAAACCACCTCCACAAGAATTCACGACAGGGATGACAGCACCCAGCGGGTGGTGTTAGACCATAAGAAGCCATCCCATGACCCCGTCACCTCCCACCAGGCCCACCTCCAGCATTGGGGATTACATTTCAACATGAGATTTGGGTGGGGACACAGAGCCCAACCATATCACCTCCACCTGTCTTGAAATGCCAGGGCTCCCTCCCCAGCCCCACCTGAAGGCAAAGTTCTAGAACCACCCTGAGACAATGAGCCAGTCACTTCAAACTGAGCATGAAACGACTCAGCATCCAGAGCAAAAGAAATACATAAAGTGCCTAAGTGGGCCTAATGGGTTCTTAGTAATCAAATTTATCATCATCTGTATGCTTTCCATATTATGGTGGGAACACTTTGTAGCCAGCCTAGCTCCCCTTCTGTTCCTGTTAGAATTTTGTTCTTAGAATAAATTTACATCCGTCCCCTGGTGCCAGGGTTCAGGCTGTGTTGCACTTTTCATTATAAGCCATGTTTACCGAAGGTTTACAACTTGGCCGTAAAAACCAGTTGGCACCGAAACTGGAAACTTGGCATGAACAAATTGGCATAAACATTGGCCGGAAGCAGTTTTTCTATCTAAATCTGAGAAAAACAGACTAGGTCATTTTCAAGTTATTTGTGTTATTCATGCATAAATAAAATGAAGCTTGACATCTTCAAACAGTTGTTTGCTTTTGCACTCTTCAAAAATAGATTGGATCCAAGAAAAGTAACATTTGGTAAACAAATACTCCATGACGGACTGTAAAAAAAAAGTAAGGGAAAAAGAGTGGAGTGCAGCACATGAAATAGAAAGGGAAGATGGAAGTGTTTCAAAAGTCACTTGTGTCAGAAAGTAGAGTCAGGAAAGGTATTATTAGGTGATTATGTGGTTTCTAGAGGCAAATTTAGAGATTCCCCCGGACTCTAAATTAATACTGTAAATAAGCAGAAAACAAGCTTTCAAATAAAATCCTTTTTTTTTTGGAGATCTGAAGCACTCTTCATCTAAACACACAAGGTAACTAAATATATGATGTTCAGGCAGGGAAGATCCAAGTGATTTCTAAATATGTTTTCTAACAGCAGTAGGCTTGGCCTGTAAAACAAACAAACAAAAAGTTTAAAAATTAGGGGAAGAAAAAAATATATATATAAATGATATATTAAAACATGTTGGTTAAAAACAATAGCATCGATGCCTGAAGCCCCTTTCCTCTCATCTATGCATCGAATTAAGTTTAGAAATGCAGTTTGTGGGTTTTGCATTCCAGCAGCCAGTAGCAGCTCTGTAAAGAGGGAAAGTGACGGTGCCGACCGCTCCCCAAAGAATGCCTTTTTGGCAAATTTAAAAGTCAGCCTTGACGTCAAGTGACTCCTGAGAAGGCTCCGCGTTGAGTTCTGTGAAGCGTGGGCGGATCGGACTTTCACTCTCGAAACTCTGTCGGGGGATGACTACAGAGACAGTTTAGGGCAAAATAACACCAAGCCAATTCAAACAGAAAGTAAAAATAAGTCAGAGAGGAAAGAATGTGGAGGATGGACCAGGCCTGCTGGGGCCTGCGTTCTGTAACAAGCACCGTTTGGGGAAGGAGTCGTTCCATAGGCTTGCTTTTTATTGATGTTCCTTCCTAACCGTGGTTAGCAGCAGCTAAATCCATATGGTTTTTCTTGGCAAAATGGATCTTGTCCTCTATTTGTAAAGTGTTGTTTCCCCAAACTATAGGCAGAGTAATAGAATTCCATCATCAGAAGTGGAAGGATCTTCCACCTGGGGATTTCACCCGAAGGACACCCTTTGGTCCTTACCTGGCTCTTAGGATCAGCATGGTTTGATCACCACGTGGTGATTCAAGCTAACAGTTATCTTGGGACACATCTCAAAACTATTAACTCCCCAGAATGATCCACGGTGTTGATTCTCAGGTGGACGCTCCCGGTGTTTCCTCCTTTGGAGAAAGCTATGAAATCACTTGTTCACCCTAATATCAAGATTGTTCCAGCCGGGCATGGTGGCTCACACCTGTAATCCCAGCACTTTGGGAGGCTGAGACGGGCAGATTACACGAGGCCAGGAGTTCGAGAGTAGCCTCGGCAACACGGCGAAACCCGGTCTCTACTAAAAATACAAAAATTAGCTGGGCATGGTGGCGCCCGTCTGTAATCCCAGCTACTCAGGAGGCTGTGACCGGAGAATCGCTTGATCCCAGGAGGCAGAGGCTGAAGTGAGCCAAGATCACCCCAGCCTGGATGACAGAGCAAGACCCCATTTCAAAAACAGAAAAAAAAAAAAAAAAGATTGTTCCTATTAGCAACTATAGCAATCCCAGGTCATCGAGGATTCCAGCTTGTCAGGTGCTTCCTGGATAGGTTTTTATACCATAGAGAGTTCACTTCCACATTGAGAAGTATGAATAAACACGTACAATGACTCCATTGAGATTATTCTGTAGAGATGAAGAAATTAAAGACCTAGGGCACACTATCGGGGTTCCATAGACCAGAGACAAAACAACTCAGCAATTAACAGGCCTCATAGAAACGAGACTGGGAACCCCTTAGCATTTCTGCAGAATTCGCAGTTATTTCTAAGTATATTCCCTCCAGGTGCACAGTGAGCTGATCTCACCAGTCCATAGATTCCTTGAGGGACTGGTTTACGTCTTATTTTTGTATTCAGTTCCTAACACAGTGCCTGACACTCTCCAGGGCTTCGGTCAAATACTGATGCCATGATATGGGTAAGTGTTCCTATCTGTAACTAAAGAGAGACAGGTGTTCTGGTTTTGTTTTCTTTTAACAGACTGGGGAAGAAAACTGTTTGGAGGCTAAAATAAAATTTGCACCGATCAGCATAAACGAGTGAGTTGTCTGGAATTGCCACATGGTAGATCTGAAATGCCGTATCTACAGGGAGCAGGTGCCTGGTGAAGAGGGACTGTCTGGACACTGTGATCAGAGATAACTGATGACTTCTACAGCAGTCTGCCCTTCAGCTCAATATTCTACCACCAATAGGCCTTGGGTATCAGGGGGTTGATGGGGCAGTCGGATGATTAGTGATGACAACTGCAGGGGAAGTAAGGGTGGGAAGAAGTGTAGCTGGTAAAAAACTTCCCATCTTTTAATCTTCAACTTACAACTGGGGGAAAGTATTACGTGTTAAATCCAACCCAAAGAAAAGAAAGTTCATCAGAATCTCCAAGCCGAATGGGGTCTGCGACCCGTTCCATTCAGACAGACCAGACAGGCCTGGCGCAGCTTTCTACCCTGCTCCCCAGAGCTGTGCAACATGTAGTCCTTGGCCCATTCCTGCTGCATAAATGTGCATTCTTTGTATTGGAACCCAGAGTGTAGGAACTAGTGGCTTTGACAGAGAATCAGGCTGGCCCTGCATCCATGTGAGACATTCCTGTTCTTTTCTTAAGGTTTCTTCGTTGTTACATAGTATCTTGGGAAATGAAACAGAAAGCTAACTGCAGTGTTAATTCTTGGAACTGGCATGAAAATGGAGAGGAGAAGTGACACAGCGAAACAGCTTATGTTTCGGAATCGAAGACCTGGATTCATTTTCTACCTCTGTACTCTCAGGATTTGTGCAAGACTTTGACCAATTACTTAACCCATCTAAGCCCCAAGAATCCTGACCATAAAATGAAGCTACTGCTTCCTACTTCTGGACAATGTATGGATTGGCTGGGCGGGGAGGGGGCAGAAAAAACTGTCCTGGATGTCCTCTTTCTTTTCTGGTGCATGTCTTCCCCACCAGCAAGCTCGGTGGACTGGCCCTCCAAATGTATCCTGACTCCGAGCTGTGTGATTTCTTTTCCTTCCAAGCCACAGCCATCTCCATTCTGGATGGCATCCATGTGCTCCTAAAGCTCTCCTGCTTCCTCTCAGACTTCCCAACCATCCCTTCCCCGGGGCATGCGTGGGATCCAACAGTGTGAACCTCATCACCTTATGCCTACTGAAGGCCCTACTTGGCCTCCTAACACTCTGCAGACAAAAGAACCCATGAACACCCAAGCAGAGCCTGGGCCCTGCCCGATTCTGGCCTCCCTCACCCCTCCCCTCTGCCCAGGCCCCACCCATCCTGGCCTTACCCCTTCAACCTCCCTGAAACACACCAGACATCCTCTGGCCCCTTCTGGCCCAGCTTCCCCTGCCCCCAGCCCTTGCCATAGACCTCCCATGCCTGGCGCTCCCAATGTTTACTTCTCAGGTAAAATCTCTCCTCTTTAGAGACGTGAGATTGAGCCTCGATCTTTCAAACCAAAGGAGCCTCCACCCCTCTCTCCCCACCAAATGCTTTATCTGTTTCCTTTGTATCACTCACCTGAATTCTGTTTGTATTTGTCAGGGCCCCCAGAGTGAAAGTGCAGGGCCCTACATGAGCCCAGAAGGTGCTTTATCCCGAAAGTCTGGGAGAGAAGAGGTTTCTGGAGAACCGTGAAGCCCATCTGCATGGGAGGTGTGACAGCCGTCAGTGCTTCTCCTGCACCCCGTCCCTGTGCCGCTCCCGGGGCCATGAAGCCACTGGACAACGATGAGACGATTGAGCTCATTATTATAAAATAATCACATTTTTCTACTCTAAACTTATAGTAATATTCCAGTTTAGACAGAATGAAGAGCATCCGGAAAAGCTGAACAATGAGCTCCTAAGATGGGCCGTGATTCCAGCATATGGCTTGGGTGGTCGCATGGCAAGATGTGCACACAAACAAGCAATAGTGAATTGTGAACGCCTCTGGCAAGTGCTCTGGTTGGACTGTATTTTCAGAGCTTGTAAATTTCCTAATTCCTTTTGCATAATAGCATTAATGATGCGAGGAGGCCAGTTACATTTTCAGTCATACTTTATTGCATTTTAGAGGGAAATTATCTATTACAGTTGAATTTGCAAAGTTGGGTATTTCCAAAGGTCATGGGATTTGCGCCCCACAGCAGGAAAGGCACACAGTGGAGCCAACTCTTTACTGCCTGTCTGAAGGGTGACTTGGTCTGTGACCTGGTTTTGGTGGCATCCCCAGGTTCACAGCCTGTCTGCCTCACTTTCCCTTACTGGGTGTGCGGCCTGTGAACAGAGGGTGAAGACACACATGTGGAATCTCAACCTTGAGACACTCTGCAGCAATGCCGGACAGGATGAGAGAGTTGTGGGCAGGATCAAGTCCAGCTGGGGATGCAGGAATAACTCTCAGGACATGACACAGTTTTCCGTATCACAAAATAAAGGAGGAGAAAGCTGGCTTTGGGTGGCACAGTTTCCAAGGGGTCCAATCTGTTAAATGTAGAATGCTTCAGTCTTATTTCTTGGCAAAGTGTCGCACTTGAATTATTGAGTATCTGCTGTGCACCGTGTACTGGCCATCTGACCAGGTGTTTCATACATGTCCATGTTAACCCTCCCAGTAGTCTACAAGGTATTGTGTTCCCTGAATAGGTTGGAGAACTCCAGCTCAGATTGAGGCAGCCCACCCAAGAACAGCTGGTGGATGGCGATGTCAAGACTCAAACCCAAGCCTGTAGTTATCTGTGAAAAAGATGATGGAGGTGGTGAAAAGGATAATGAACATGTATGCACACTGGTTATAAACATGATACATGAACTGGAGAAGCAGCAGTCCTGAGGTGGGCACTATTAAGGTGAAAGGTGGGACTCAACTCCGGAGGTGGGGACTCGGGCTCTAGACAAGATTGAAGACCTGCTATAACAAGGAAGAGGTGAAAGCAACTCTCCATAAGACACTCCCACCAGCGCCATGTCAGTTTACCACTGCTATGGCAATGCCTGGGAGTTAAACACCCCATTCCATGGCAGTGACTTGATAACCCAAAAGTTACCATTCCTTTTCTAGAAATTTCTGCATAGTTGCCTTTTATTTTTTATTTATTTATGTATGTAATTATTTTTGAGAAGAAGTCTCGCTCTGTCGCCCAGGCTGGAGTGCAGTGGCATGATCTCGGCTCACTGCAAGCTCTGCCTCCTGGGTTCACACGATTCTCCTGCCTCAGCCTCCCGAGTAGCTGGAACTACAGGTGCCCCCCACCATGCCTGGCTAATTTTTTTGTACTTTTAGTAGAGACGGGATTTCACCATGTTAGCCAGGATGGTCTCCGTCTCCTGACCTTGTGATCCGGCTGCCTTGGCCTCCCAAAGTGCTGGGATTACAGGCGTGAGCCACCATGCCTGGCCTCACAGTTGCCTTTTAATATGCTTGTAATTAAGATGAGTAAAAATGGCTGGGCACGGTGGCTCATGTCTGTAATCCCAGCAATCTGGGAGCCCGAAGCAGGTGGATCACTTGAGGCCAGAAGTTCGAGACCAGCCTGACCAACATGGCAAAACCCCATCTCTACTAAAAACACAAAAATTACCTGGGCTTGGCAGCATGTGCCTGTAATTCCAGCTACTCAGGAGGCTGAGGCGGAGGTTGCAGTGAGCTGAGATCGTGCCACTGCACTCCAGACTGAGAGACAGAGTGAGACTGGGTAAAACTATGACTGCAGAACTGTCCTGAGCTGCTCCTCTCAGTGCTCTACCTAGTGGGTAGCCCTGCTCTGTGGGGGCATTGTGGAGACGCAGCAGTGGCACCTCAGTAAAGCTGCTTTCTTCCGCCACCAGCTCACCTGGTATTCTCCCCAGAGCAAAACCAACAACCTTCCCGGGCTAACCCTCAACTGGGGACTTGATACAGTTTGGCCATGTCTTCACCCAAATATCATCTTGAATTGTAGCTCCCATAATTCCCATGTGTTGTGAGAAGGACCTGTTGGGAGATAATTAAATCATGGGGCCAATTTCCCCCATAATATTTTTGTCTTAGTAATAAGTCTCATGAGATCTGATGGTTTTATAAGGGGTTCTGCCTTTCTCATGGCTCTCATTCTCTCTTGCCTGCCACCATGTAAAATGTACCTTTTGCTTTCCACCATGATTGTGAGGCCTCCCCAGCCACTGGGAAACTATGAGTCTATTAAACTGTGAAACTGTGAGTCTATTACACTTCTTTTTCTGTATAAATTACTCAGTCTCGATTATGTCTTTATCAGCAGTGTGGAAATGGCTTCCCTGCCCTGCATCACTACTGTTTTCCCTATTTTACAGGTAAGGAAACTGGGGCTCACCAAGTCCCAGATCACAGCATCAGAAAGCAATGGTGTCTGATTAAAGTCCATTGTCCATGCAACCCCGGGGAGCAGGCATCTCCCACACAACAGTCATGCAGCCCCTGGTAGCAGGCATCTCCCACACCACAGTCCTGTCCCCACAGGTCTGGCACGGTGCCTCAGGACACCTGTAAACACCATGTTTCCTGGAGAAGCCAGTCACGGCCCTCTGGGATGCATGATAAGATTTTGTGTGAGTTAATACTCACAAGAAGAGCCCAAGGATCGCCACCTGGCAAAGCTAAGACAGACGTTCATCTTCCCTCTCATCTGAGCCAGGCAGCCCAGCAGGAGTGAGTAAGTGGAGGGGCATGACTCTGAGTGCTTGGAGAAAAGGGCCAGGCATGCCGCTGGGGGTCTCCACAAGTGAACCGAAAACCTACTCTCCTCATCTCTTTTGTGTTGCTTAGAATTGAGAAGAAATAAAATGTATTTCTTACGGTTAGGGAGGCTGAGAAGTCCAAGGTTACAGGGTCACATCTGTTGAGGGCCTTCTTCTTGGTGGGGCCTCTCTGCAGAGTCCCAGGATGGCACGGTACATCATATGGGGAGGGGCTTGAGAGTGTTAATGTGTTAGCTCTGGTCTCTCTTCCTCTTCTTACACAGCCACCAGTTCCCCACTCACGAAAGCCCATTAATCCATTAGCCCATGAAAGTGTTAATCCACTGGACAGGTGCAGTGGCTCATGCCTATAATCCCAGCACTTTGGGAGGCCAAGGTGGGCAGATTGCCTGAGATCAGGAGTTCGAGACCAGTCTGGCCAACATGGTGAAACCCCTTCTCTACTAAAAGCACAAACATTAGCTAAGTGTGGTGGTTCACGCCTGTAGTCCCGGCTATTCTGGAGGCTGAGGCAGGATAACTGCTTGAAACTGGAAGGTGGAGATTGCAGTGAGCCAAAATCACATCACTGTACTCCAACCTGGGTGATAGAGCAAGACCCCATCAAAAAGAAAAGAGAGACAGAGAGAGAGAGAGAGAGAAAGAAAGGAAGGAAGGAAGGAAGGAAAGGAAGGAACGGAAGCGAAGGAAGGAGAGGAAGGAAGGAAGGAAGGAAGGAAGGAAAGGAAGGAAGGAACGGAAGAGAGGGAGAAGGAAGAAGGAAGGATCAGGAAGAGAAGGAAAAGGAGAGGAAGAAGCAGAAGGAGAAGGAGAAAAAGGAGAGGAAGGAAAGGAAGGAAGGAAGAAAGGAAGGAAGGAAAGAAGAAGGAAGGCAGGGAAAGGAAGGGAAAAGGCAAGGAAGGAAGAAAGAGAGAAGAAAGAAAGAAAGAAAGAAAGAAAGAAAGAAGAGAGAAAGAAGAAAGAAAAGAGAGAGAGAAGGAGAAGGAAGAAAGAGGAAGGAAGGAAAAGGAAGGAGGAAGGAAGGGAAAAGGAAGGAAGGAAAGGAAGGCAGGAAGCGAAAGGAAGGAAGGAAAAGTGTTAATCCACTCATGAGAACAGAGCTCTCTTGACCTCATCCCTCAAAGGCCCCACTTCTAAATATTGCGGCCCTGGGGATTGAATGTGAGCATGAGTTTTGGAAGGGACAAACATTCAAGTTACAGCACCTTCCTGCTTCTTCTCCCACCAGCCATTCCTTGGCAGGTGTATCAGGCTCATAACTCACGGCTCAGTTTCTTCAGGCTGTTTCTTCTGAGCTCTGATGCCGCCCCCTTCCTGCTCAGCCTCCAGGGCTCTTGCCAAATGTCACAGGGGCAAGGACGTCTTTCCTGAGCCTCCCCTGGAATGGAGACATTAGCCTCCCTTTAGCCTCCAAGAGTGTTGCTGCCGTTGGATTCTGGCCCTCAAATGATTCTCACCGTTCCTCAGTCACCCTGATTGTGCAGGCCTTCCTAGCACATGGTGTCAGGAAAAGCGAGGCTTGATGCCGAGCCTAGCGCTCATAGATGCCATCCCCAAGCTGCCAAAGGCTCTTCCCATCCCAAGTACTCGAAGACTTCATTTCAGTCATGGAATTTCCTTCTACAAGAGCTTCCTCCTGCACTGTGGCTACAGGTCATGTTTACACATTTCCTTCTGCAGGCTTGTAAATCTCCTGTGCACAAAAACAGGCCTCATTTGGTTCCTTATGGCACCTTGGATGATATTTAGTGCATAACTGTGTTCAATAAAAGTTAGTTGAGAAAATACGACATGAAGTAGGGGAAGAGTTCATTCTCTTCAGGACTAAGCAGATATGTCTTTCCTACCCCAAGAAAGAAACATGTTTGCAAAACTATTTCAACATGAATTAATCCATCATGATTCGTAGTTTATGTAGCTCTTCCCAGATAGATCAAATCAAATCAAAGTCTCATTTCTTTTCACGTAGCAGGGCACAGTTGATATCAGTGTGCTGCAACCTAAGGAAAGGCAAATGGTCTGGAGGGAATACGTGCACAGACATCGTTTTTAAAATGAGCCTTTGACTCTTTCTCACTCCTCCCTTTCTCCTTCTCCTGGTCCCAGCTCATTCCACCCAACAAGTTGACTTTCTATCAAACAATCTGTCACTTGAAAGGAGGCAAGATTTCTATAGTTACTTGGGAATCTACAGACTATAAAAAGCCCTTTATTTTGACGGCTAGCAAGACATTTGCTGTGTTTATAACGCCTGATTGCCGTTTTTCTGCAGGTATTCTTCTCCATTTAGAGTAGCATCCTTCAGAACTCCAGTGTGTTATCTTTGCGTCGTCCAGAGCACCACGTGGAGTGACTGCGAAGTCAACGGACGCGTAAATTGCATTCATCAATTTTAAATGTCATTGTGATATATCTTTTCAATATGTGTAATAATATATAAAATACATACGGAATCTAGTTACAGTCAAGTTGACAGTCTCTCATGGGGACAATTTAAGTATTAAAAGTTATAAATATATATTTACTAGACCTTTATTTTGCTGCTGTGTATTTCGGTAGTTCCTCTTAGAATTATCTTAATAACTGCTTTAGTCTCTGAGCATGAGTGTTACATATTTATTTATATATTTTTATTATTTTCCTTGTAAACTGAGTGAAGACAGAAAGGAATCAGGGCAAAAGCAAGACAAAACTTTTTCTTTTGAAATGCAAATAAGTAGATAATGTAAATCCAGACCAAAATGCACTTTACATGCTGTTATGTGCACAGTTAATGATGCTTGCACAGGACGTAGAACTGCCAGGTACTGGCCCAGCTTTATGAAGATGGGCGGTTATCACCAGATACTGCTGGATTTAAAGTAGTATTGTGTGTGTGTGTGTGTGTGTGTGTGTGTGTTTAAATGTGCACATACATGCTGAGGTATGTGTTTATTTTTTTCTGGAAAAATAAGAAAAAGTAGCAATTTGGGGGGAAGAATGTAATGAAGGGAAAAGTTTATTTTATAGCTGTCTAGTCTACTTAAATGTTCTATGTGAAGGTAACTTGTTAACCATGAAAAAAATCAGTACAAGTTATCTTGGTGCAATCAAAATCACCTTTTTTTATATGCCTCTGTATTTTAAAATCAACTAAAATCAATGGTGTTTTGTGGCGGGGGGGGTTGTTTTGAGACAGAGTCTTGCTCTGTCTCCCAGGCTGGAGTGCAGTGGCACGATCTTGGCTCATTGCAGCTTCTACCTCCTGGGTTCAAATGATTCTCCTCCCTCAGCCTCCTGAGTAGCTGGGACTACAAGCGAGCACCACTACACTTGGCTAATTTTTGTATTTTTAGTAGAGATGGAGTTTTGCCATGTTGGCCAGGCTGATCTCGAACTCCTAACCTCAAGTGATCCTTTTGCCTTGTTCTCCCAAAGTGCTGGGATTTCAGGAGTGAGCCACCACACCAGGCCCTAAAAATAAGTTGTTTTAAAGTAACTAAGTTATGGCCTATTTGGGACTTTGATTAATAGATAAAATATGAATGTAGAGAATTTACTTAAATCTTACACATTCTTTTAACACCTTTCCTGTACTTTGTAGGTTGGTATCGCTATTTCCACTGACTTGCTGAATATTCTGTAGCATGAAGTAGAGAGTTTCTTTGCAGATCTTGTATGCTGGTGCCGGATGCTCTAGATTTTTCACCAGGTGGAGGCAGTGGGCAGGCCACCAAGTGCTCTAAGCGCCCAGCATAACTGAGCCAGCCCTGCTGCTGAAGGGAATCCCAGGAGACAAAAATCACCTGCTTTGGTTGCTAACATCTTCATCACCCAGGAATTTTACAGTTAGTGTGCTAACTGCTTCGAAGCTTGTAATCATTTTTACAGTCACCTACCACTTTACAGATGCGTGAAGGAAAACACGAGTTCAGACACACTGCCCGGTCACGGAGGCATCTTTGCTGACTGCCGTCCGAGGGCCCAGCTGCAGCTTTGCTGGGTGGATTTTCTTCTCACCCATAAGAATTTTAAAAAGCAAAGACAGAGATGCCTACATCTAGAAAAAGAACTTGTTGACATGCACTCAGGGTTTTCATGAGGAATGAATCGTGTTGGGAAACCCGTGTCTACTGGCCACCTTATCTATGATCCCAGCACTGAAAACTCTGAGAATTTTCTTCTGCTGCCAGTTCCTAGGATGTAGCATATTGCATCACGTCCATTCTCAAAATGAAGGCCCACCCGTGGGAATAATTTAGAATATAATGCAGTGGGAGTGGGGCGAGGTTGGGAGGGTAACGGTTTTGGGAGCCTGTTATTTCTTTGAAAAAGATGATATGATGTTTCAGGCAATTCTGGCAATGTATTACTATTTCAAATCTCTTTCAACCTAAATTTGCCAGTGGTGCCTCAGACATATTAATTCTGGAGATCTCCTTCTTTGTTAAAAGGAAGGTAAGCCATCCTATCTCATTTCCAAAACCGCAAAGTTTTGGGATAAAAGGAGTGATGTAATACAGCCCCAGTGTCTCCTCTCCTCACAGTAGGGGTCATATCCACCTCCTCGTGATGATCGCATTAAAATTAAAGAATTCATGCAAAGTGCACAGAACTGCGGGTGGCCAACAGCTCTTTGTCTACAACAAAGAACAACACTGACAGTAACAGTCTCTTAGTGGTATAATCTGAGATTTGAAAGAGCTTGGGAAAAAAGACAGTTGTGGAGAGAATTGTGGACGATTCAAAGTGTCTTGCTCTACCACATTCTTCTCCATGTATCCACATTTATAATTATTCCGTGACACATTTCAGATGGTTTTCATTCATGAAGTTCTCTGGAATGTACCCCACGTATATAAGAATTATAAAGGGCCGGGCGCGGTGGCTCATGCCTGTAATCCCAGCACTTTGGGAGGCCCAGACGGGCGGATCACGAGGTCAGGAGATCGAGACCATCCTGGCTAACACGGTGAAACCCCGTCTCCACTAAAAATACAAAAAAAAAAAAAAAAAAATTAGCCAGGCATGGTGGCATGCACCTGTAGTCACAGCTACTCGGGAGACTCAGGCAGGAGAATCACTTGAACTCAGCAGGCAGAGGTTTCAGTGAGCTGAGACCACACCAGTGCACTCCAGCCTGGGTGACAGAGCAAGACTCGGCATGCACCTGTAGTCACAGCTACTCGGGAGACTCAGGCAGGAGAATCACTTGAACTCAGCAGGCAGAGGTTTCAGTGAGCTGAGACCACACCAGTGCACTCCAGCCTGGGTGACAGAGCAAGACTCCATCTAAAATTTAAAAAAAAAAAGATATATAAAAATCATATAATATATTTGTAATATATAATAAGATAAAATAAGGAGATAAGTAATTAATTCAAGTCGATAAAATGCATTTATTCCATTAAAAATACCATTACAACTAGGATTCGGTTTTTACTGATATCTCCATTGCTGGCACTAAAACAAACCTCTGGAGCAGTATAAACTAATTCAGAATTATTTTTCCCTTGCTTCCTCAAAGATCTCTTTTCCTCTTTCTGCATTGCAGCTGCCTGTTTCCAGGTCCCTGCCTCCTGTGTGGCTTTGACCCCTTCCATCCCATGCGTCCCGGTGAATCCCAGCCTCTCCAGTTCTCAGTCAGCCTAGCGCTGGAACTCTGACTTCAAGCCTGTGGCCCACCTGGATTCCACATTCTAGGACCTGAAGTTTCTTCACTTTCACTTGCTGAGTCCCACAGCACCCCGTCCCCTTCTCATTGTTACTGCTGTACTGTTTCCTGTGGTCCCTGATTATGTTGGGCCTCTCAGAGGCTTCGGGTAGACTTTTCTACCAGACCAAGAGGCTGTGACCATCTGCAAGTACAACACAGGAAAGCTCTTGTGGTGATTACAGTCATGAAAACCTTTGTCCCAGTATATAGGCTGGAGGATAGTTTGACATGAGGGTGAGATTTGACTCCATTTAATTGGACATTAAATGAAACACATAGCATGCCTTTATTTGGTATTTAAATTATACCTTAGAGAAAATACTTTACATGCTGGGTGCAGTGGCTCACGTCTGTAATCCCAACACCTTGGGAGACCGAGGCGGGTGGATCTCTTGAGGTCAGGAGTTCGAGACCAGCCTGGTCAACATGGTGAAACCCTGTCTCTAATAAAAATACAAAACTATCCAGGTGTGGTGGCACACATTTGTAATCCCAGCTACTCAGGAGGCTGAGGCGGGAGGATCACTTAAACCTGAGAGGTGGAGGTGCAGTGAACCAAGATCATACCACTGCACTCCAGCCTGGGTGACAGAGCAAGACTCCATATCCAAAAAAGAAGAGGAAGAAGAGGAAGAGGAAGAGGAAGAGGAGGAGGAAGAAGAAGAAGAAGAAGAAGAAGAAGAAGAAGAAGAAGAAGAAGAAGAAGAAGAAGAAGAAGGAAATACTGTATATTCATAATATTTTTGTCTGACATTTGACATTTTGAATATGTAGTATTATAATTCTATCATCAACAGTGGCCCAAGAACCTACGTGGAACTTGGGAAGCTTTTTCCCCATAGAAACATAAAGGTATTTACAAATTAACCTTTAACATCCATCAGTTTGTACACTGGGAACTGATTTTACGCAATTTTTACTTTGACCCACAGGTCACAAGCAGCATCATCACCTCCTGAAGGCAAGTCCACGCTGGGCCCCAGGAGCTGAGCTGTTGCGTTTCCGGGTGACACATTTCCTCACATGCTTCCATCAATTCTTTCTGTGGTCACCACACTCCACGTTAATTACCACAACCTTTGCCTTGCCTGTGTTGGATTCTATTAGTGGCTCAGTCCAAACTCTAGACCAAATTGAGTCATCCTGCTCTATTGTGACATGGGATAGTCAAGAATAACTATGTGGAGACCGTATTTGGTGATTCCATGATATTAGAGACAGAAGCTTGGGCCGGGGGGAGGAACAAGCCATTTGAGCAGGGCCCTTCCCTTTCCTTCCTTGAGGAATTCTTATCAATGTGAGGTCGTTAATACCTGCAAGACCAAGAATAGAATAGGGGTCTAGGAGGAGGTGCCAAGCAGGTAGGAAGAAAGGGTTGGAAATGTTGATGCGAGCCCCACCCAGCTTATCAAGGGAGCACATGTGGGTTTGAGCCCAAAGCTCTTAACAGAAGAAACCCCATCTCTACTAAAAGTACAAAAATTAACCTGGCGTGTTGGCGAGCACCTGTAATCCCAGCTACTCAGGAGGCCGAGACAGGAGAATAGCTTGAACCCAGGAGGCAGAGGTTGCAGTAAGCTGAGATGGCACTGCTGCAATCCAACTTGGGTGACGAGAGCAAGACTCCATCTGAAAATAAAGAAAAAAAGAAAGAAAGAAATCAGCTGGGCACGGTGGCTCAAACCTGTAATTCCAACACTTTGAGAGGTTGAGGTGGGCAGGTTGTCAGAGGTCAGGGGTTTGAGACCAGCCTGGCCAATGTGGTGAAACCCCATCTCTACTAAAAATACAAAAAAAATTAGCTGAGCGTGATGGCGCACACCTGTAATCCCAACTACTCGGGAGACTGAAGCAGGAGAATCACTTAAACCTGGGAGGCAGAGATTGCACCCTGGGTGACAGAGTGAGACTGTGTCTCAAAAAAACAAACAAACAAACAAACAAAACAAAGAAAGAAAGAAACAAAAAGACACCATTTCTGGAGTGGCCTCTCTCCATGCATCCCTCAAGAACCCACAGCACACGATCAAGTTGGGGGTTCTGCATCCAAGCCCGTCCTCTCAGCTTCTGACTTTCTGCCTTAGATAAGACTAAAAGATCACAACGTGGCAGGACTCCTTGATAAATTCTTAATAAATACATAGAAGTGTACAGGGCAGGGCAGCCAAGGTCTGGACATCCCAAGTCTATGCCATGGAAGAGTTCAGAATAACCATTCCAAGACTGTCCCACAAACACACAGCAGAACTAAGATGAATACTGAGTTTCCACGGTTGTTACAAGCAACAACCAGCTGTGGGACATGGCTGCTTCCCTCTTCCCTACGATGCAAGGGGCAGAATTCCTCAGCCTTAGACATCAGCCTGTTATTCCGGCAGCCAAGCACTAGTGCTTCACATTGGCAGGTGCACTTCCATACCTACAGGTCAGCCAGTGACCCACTGTGGACAGATATATGCCCTAAGACGGGCGGGGAAAAGAAAGCAGGAAATCATCTCTTCTTGAGATCCAGGAATTTTGCAGGGGCCACCTTTTCTGCCACACGGAGAAAGCATGTCTGAAGATGAAGCTAGCATTACGTGAAGCAGAATGGCAAGACTCACAGTGAAAAATAGAATTCCAGTAATATTGTCGAGCTCCTGGGTTTGGCAGTATCTAAGGACAGCCCACTCCTGGAGCTTCTACCTTACCTGACCCCTTTGGATTATTCTAACATGATGACCGGGTGTGATGGCTCACGCCTGTAATCCCAGCACTTTGCAAGGCCAAGGTGGGTGGAACACTTGAGGTCAGGAGTTTGAGACCAGCCTGGCCAATGTGACAAAACCCCATTTCTATTTAAAAAACAAAAAATACAAAAAAAAAAAAAAAATTAGCCAGGCATGGTTGTGAGCACCTGTAGTCTCAGCTACTCAAAAGGCTGAGGCAGGAGAATCACTTGAACCCAGGAGGTGGAGGTTGCAGTGAGCCAAGATCGTGCCACTGCACTCCAGCCTGAGCAATAGACTCCCTCTGAAAAAAAAAAAAAAAAAAAGCCGCATTTTTGCTACTTACCTTTCTAAGATTCCTGACTACTCCTCAATGATTTTTTGAGACAGCATATTGAAGGGATCATATAAAAACAAAAACTGCAGGCTATATTCATAAAGGGTCAATATCAATCATGCAAACTGCCTCATCCGTTTATCACTTCTTAATTTCATGACACAGAAAATTAATACCTTATTTTTGAAATAACTTTTAGTTCTTGTAAGGGTCTTCTAATTAAATCCTTATGCAATTTAATTGAAATACCAGAAACACATTGATTTGACAAGTAGTCAATGTGCATTTTTATAGCACATTAATTTTTTTTTTTACTCAGGCCGATACGCTGGGTAGTTTTCTCTTTAAGCGAAAATAGCAGGTGAGATCTCTGTACTAACAAGATGAAATTGCCGTATTGGCCATCAGTTCTAGCTGGCATCAATCCACACAGACACAATGACTTAGAGAATATGAGGTGCCTAGTTCAAGGGGGGGTTTCATCTACATACAGAGAGGGAGAAGGCTGTTCAGAGAAAGAAACATTTCTTTTCCTTTTTTCTTTTCTTTTTCTTTTTTTCTTTTTTTTTGAAATGGAGTTTCACTCTGGTCACCCAAGTTGGAGTGCATTGGCACGATCTTGGCTCACTGCAATCTCCACCTCCCACGTACAAGTGCCCCAGCCTCAGTCTCAGCCTCAGCCTCCCAAGTAGCTGGGACAACAAGCACACGCCACCATGCCTAACTAATTTTTGTATTTTCAGTAGAGATAGAGTTTCACCATGTCTCAAGCTCCTGACCACAGGTGATCCACCCACCTCAGCCTCCCAAAGTGCTGGGATTACAGGCATGAGCCACCGAGCCCAGCCAGAAAGGAACATTTCTAACCTATTCCAAGTGTATCCTTGTCTACAGCAGCACCAGAAGATCATATCAAAGTGGAAGCTGCTGGGAAACATCCTTTCAGCAGGGAGGGGTTAATGGACGAGGATGGAACATGTCTCCTAAGGCAGCCAAAGAAATGGGGATGTGCAGGCGCCGAAGCACAGGGCATGTGTTACGTGACGGAGACACAGAAGCTCTTATCTAGGTGAGAGGAAAAGAAAGAGGGAGTAAATATTTTTCACTGCCATTTAAAAATAAAATTAAAAAGAGGCCAGAATCGGTGGCTCACCCCAGTAATCCCAGCACTTTGGGAGGCCAAGGCAGGTGGATCACCTGAGGTCAGGACTTCGAGATCAGACTGACCAACATAGCGAAACCCCGTCTCTACTAAAAATACAAAAATTAACCAAGCGTGGTGGTGGATGCCTATGGTCCCAGCTACTCAGGAGGCTGAGGCAGGACAATCGCTTGAACCCGGGAGGCAGAGGTTGCAGTGAGTTGAGATTGTACCACTGCCCACCAGCCTAGGTGACAGAGAAAGACTCTGTCTCTAAATAAATAAATAAATATTTAAAGTAGATTTCCTCTATGAATTTACTTGAATCATTTTGTCCATCAAGGCATAATCCAATCACCCCAACAAATAATTTAACACACATTACTATAGCTATGATCCAAATGTCAAATGGGAAAGGTGGATTGAGGGAGAAAAATGTTTCTGTGTAAAATAGTTGATGTGTACAGTGGACTGCAACATTGAGAAAGAAGAGGAAGAGAACTGACGATGACAACATTTTCTTTTACCCATAATCTCAAATAACATTTGAAAAACAATTTTAGTAATTTTACTTTTAAGATAAAGTAAACTACTGCTAAATGCAATTCTGTTTCGGTGGGTGTAAGCTTTACTTTATAAACAGAGTGTATTGTTCTATATTCTGCACTCTGAAATTCCTGCACTTGGTAATGAGAAGCCATCAGTGAAATTTGCTTGCAGCTAAATTAAAGCCCTCAATCAGCTTCTGACTATGCCAGTTAGTCTATTATAAGACAGTATTTCTTTTTAACATAATATTATATATATATATGCTCTTGCAGATGTAGGTCCTAAAAGTTTGAGAAGTGCATGATTTATGCATAGTCTTTCAAAAGAGAAACTTTAATAGCACTTTTGATTCATAAATGCTTTGCTTTTCCCTAACACTTTAACAGTAGAACAGAGATATGGATCATCCCCAGTCATTTTTTTTTTTCATTTATGTATACAGATGTAGGTAACCTCATTTATTTGGAAAGTGGCTGTGTTGCATTTAGACAGAGAAACTGGGAAACAGGGATACTATAAATGTGAACTGCATGTGCTGTGTGTAGCTCCACTCTGGCATCCTAATAATAGCAGAGTTTCTGAAGCTTAGGTATATTCTTGGAGTGACCCAATTCACTCAATCACTTCCCAGATACAATGAGAGGCTACTGAAGGGTCCAGGACCCTGGCGGATTGGAAGCCTTTGTCCGTATTTCAGAATATCTTTGTTCCAATAACAATAGGTGACATCCTGCATAATACAGGGCCATTTGTACAACTGGCTGCCAAAACTTCCTGTTTAGAACGAGGCAGAGGGATTTCTGAAAAGCCTGGATAGGTTAGTGAGAAAGGAAGCCAGACAATGCTGGGATTTCCAGGATTTTCTCTCCTTGAAGATGAAGCCAAATGTGCAGAGGTCAGGAGAAATGGTACTATTTCAAAGGGGCAACCAACAGCCATTGTTAGGACTGAGTGTACACCTCTGTGAGCTAACCAAAGCTACTTAGAAGACAAACATGCTTGTAACTCAGCTGGTTCCAAGCCCTTTTTTATAGCTCACCAAACATCCTGCTTATCGTCTTCAAATTTGAAGCTAGGCATTGAGTTGGTCCTTTTCCAAAGACCATCATGTATGAAAATAAAACAAGTTTTTCTCAAATTCTTGAAAATGTGTTATTGCAGTTTAATTTAATTTTGGTGTTTAAAACTTGTCAAAGAAAACAAAGCAATATATCTTCTTAACAAAGTATCACTAAACAACAAAGCTGGAGGCATCACAATTCCTGATTTAAAATTCTGTGACAAGGCTGGGCGCTGTGGCTAATGCCTGTAATCCCAGCACTTTAGGAGGCCAAGGCAGACAGATTGCTTGAGTCCAGGAGTTCGAGACCAGCCTGGGCAACATGGTGAAATGCCATCTCTACCAAAAACAAAATACAAAAATTAGCTGGATGAGGTATGTGCCTGTGGTCCCAGTTACTTAGGAGGCTAAGGTGGAAGACTGCTTGAGTGCTTGAGCCCAGGAAGTAGAGGTTGCAGTGCACTGCTGCACTCCAACCTGGGCAAGAGAGTAAGATGCTATCTCAAAAAAAAAAAAAAAAAAAAAATACATTACAAGGCAATAGTAATCAAAACAGTATGACACTGACATAAAAACAGACACATAGCTGAGTGAAACAAAGGAGAGAACCCAGAAATAAATCCAAATATATGTGGTCAACTAATTTTTGACAAGGGTGCCAAAAACACACAGTGGGGAAAGGATGGTGTCTTTAATAAATAGTCCTGGAAAAACTGAATCTCTAAATGCAAAAGAATGAAATTGGACCCTTATCTTACACCATACAGAAAATAAATTCAAAATGATAAAGTAGCTAAATATATGACTGGAAATCATAAAACTTCCAGAAAAGAA